CAATAGTCTGCCTGACTAATTGTAAGGCTTTATAGACTTTTACATGTCTGTCTGTGATATTGCTGCAATCTATTTATGAAAGTTATGCTGGGTCAAATATAATCTTGCCCATATTTGGGCATAAATAACTTAATATTCACCCGCAGGGACAAAGTCGCAGTCAGCACAATACAGGCAGGCATATTTGAGGCACTGTAAGAATCCTGCATAAGCAGGAACCCACCTGTAGATCCATGGACCTTTTGTTCTTGGCTGATGGTGACAGAGCGGTAGAAGACACGGGCTGATCTTCGAGGCTGTGAAGAACTGAAGTAAGTCTTTCTTCCAGTTTCTCTCACATAAGGAGCAGAAGAAGCAGTTTCATCAGCCATACTTTCGCCCCTTTGTTGGTAACGTGATTTTACTTTGGGCTTTGAAGTGTGAATTCCTAAAAGTGAAAAAACAAATAATAATGTGCTATTACTCTAAATTTGACATACTGCAGGAGACTGGAGGCTGGAAGGCAAGGTTAAAAAAATGTTCTTTGTGGGTAGCCCAGTCAAAATATATTGAGTTATTTTATTTACCACAAGACGTTCAGCATTGAGTAGCTGATGCTAAAGTATGTTACCTCCATTTTCAGAGCATCTGTGATCCATGTTGCGAATAGTGTCTGCTGGTCCTTTCCTTCGGGAATGCTCTCCTTCTCTTTCTGAATTGTTCGGTTTTGTGGGAATTGTATTACCATTACCTGGAAAGGCAACAGAAAGAATGTTTGAGCTGCCCTTGTGTGTAAGCACAGTAAATGGCTTCTCACTTTGCATGAGTGATCCTTGTGAATCCTATCTGACTGAGTTCATGGTGTTTTGAAGATACAGGTCATCATCATAGTACATAAAACCCCAGAGAACTCAACTGAAGAAATGATCTGGGGAAACATCTCTCTCCTTTTCTCTGGATGTATCTGTATTTTCAGACTGTCTCAAGTGTGGCTGTGAACACAGCCCCCTCATCCACGATTGTCCTCTAAGTGCTGACCACGTGCCCAAATAGATGCTTCCTCTGCACTGCCCAGGTGGTGTGTGGACCTCTGGGCTATCCAGGGTTGAGCCTGTGGAGACCAGTGCACTCCGAAGGACACCTCCCGGCTGAACTATGAATTGCTTCTTCTGTCTGTGGCATCGAGATATATCCTGGACATGGGCAGTGTGTGAACATAAGAAAATCCTAGAAATGGTGAGGCTACAGGTGTGATGGCATGGGCAGCACAGGGCAGCGCTCTTCAAACTACAAGCAGAACTTCACCAGGTGAGTGGCAGTGTAAAGCAGCTGCAGTGCTCTTCACCTGGCCCCGGCTGCTCTGCGGAAAGACGTGGCATTGCCTGTTCTGCCTTTTCTCACGCTAAGGTAAATAAGCACTTTTGGTTCCTCTCAGTTCAGGCCAGAATGCAGCTGCAATTGTGGACTTCCACTTCTGTTGAGGGGGTACTTTAAAAAACTCTACTGCAGAACTACTTCTGCTACTATCACTAGTTGGAGTAAAAGGAGAAGGTGGAATATTTTGAGATTTAATAAATATTTCCAAAGAATAAATCCCATAAGACAATCCAAATTTGGTTTGTTTCTGTTTGACATGAACAAGAGAAATTAACTAGGTAGTGCTAAATTCTCTAATGCTTTAGTACAGGAAAATGAATAAGCCAACCGTTTTCTCCAAATACCTTTGCCTGTTGCTGTAGTAGGTGAATTTGTTGGCTCCACTGAAATCCATTTCTTTTCCTTTTCTTCTTTATCGCCATGGTTCTTTACCAGTTCAGTGTGGTTTATTTCTGAAGGATTAAAATAACATATAGTTACTTTTTCAGAAAGCACGTAATATTTTCTGCTCCAAAAACGCTATGGTGTTTTGAAAACCTCTTCTCCCGCTTCATACACAAGTCTTCTTGGGTGGAACGTGATTTTACATGTTTGCAATTCTATAAAGTATGACTCCCCAAAAGGAAAGAGAAGTGGCTATATTTCCTCTAGTGGAGTTCACGGTCACAAACTCTTGAATGCAGTCTCAAAATTGACTATGAACACACAGACCAATCCTACTTGGAACTCATACAATTGCTTTGACCAGTTCTGGCTCAGAATATTTCTCAGTATGAATGAGAAAATCTTCAGGAATACTCTGCTTAGGGTTGACATTTTAAATCTACAGACGTTTGCTTTAATCCACATACATGTTAGAGATAACTGAGAATCCAGAGGTGCATGCAATTTAGGTGTGTGTCACAGGGGGAACAAATTCTTTTCCAAAGTCAAAGTGTAGCATCAAAACGGGAACACAGTGCAAACGGGCTCCCAAGTACAGGGTGACAACTTCTGAGCTTGAACTGCGTGGTGTTACAAGAGAACTGAGTTAGCATCAGAACAGGAACCTTCGCATGTTCCTGTCTACCGGTGCTTCTTTCTCATCCCCTGCCCATGAGGCCTGCTTTGCCTCTGTCTCCGTTGTACCGGTTCAGCTCTGGGCTGTCCTGCAACCTGAACAACCAACGTGACATGGGATGAAAAACACCTTCCATTTCTAAAAGGGTTGCTTTACTCCTGAGACACCTCAGTGATACAGTTTAGAGCATGGGCCCACACACAGTTTTAAATAATTTTGCCCAGTTCTGTTGAAGACTTTAGGCTGGCAAAAACGGTCAGTCAGAACCCCATGACTTTCCATCTCTGTGTGACTTTCCCAGCTCGTACAAGAGTGCCTGTCTCTCTTCATTTACAGCAGGGAGAGTTGGATGAGAAATGTAAACTAGATTCCTAACCTTAAGATGGTTAAAATTAGACTACATAAATCTTGATCTCAAAGAAAAATGATATGCAAGACCTGTGTTGTGGATCTCAGGAAAGTACACTTAGGGTTAATAGACCATTTCTTCCTTTCCCATCTACAATCGATGCAGGCAGTCACCACCTGTGTGACACTAGACATATATATAAATATATATATGAGGAAAAATGCATGCAGAATTGTTAGCTGTTTGTAAGATGCTATCCGTTATTGTCCCTAAATGAAAAAAGCATGAAGGAGGGGCAAACTATGTAGTTGTTTCTCCCTGAAACAGTAATTTTAAAAGTGGTAAACATTGTCCAAGAAGACGAAAATACTTGCCTTTCTGCAAGTCTTGCATGGTAGCTTCCAGCGATGATAGCTCATTTTCCCGAGGTGAAGAGACAGCTTTTGCTGATGGCTGTCTGTGAGGTTCCTGAATCCTGTAATACTCTCCTAAACATACCCCGAGAGGGGGAAAGAAGACACCCAAAGTTTACTCTATTGGCAGCACTGCTGTTTAGGAAAGAGGGACTAAGATCATATTTACCAGATCTATAGCATATTTCCTTTATTGCTCTTTCCTCTTCCATATCTGCAGCAGTCTTAGGCACCCAGTTAGAAACACCTGTAGGAAATAGTTTTAAAAGATGACTAGATAGCTACATTTCTAGTTATTGTCCCCGAATGTTGAGAAATTTTGAAGTGTTTGATGGCCATCTGAACTGTGGGTCACATTTCAAACTCTATTTCATGAACAACAGGTATGTGCATTATACTGCTATTGAAATACACAACTGGGCATTTCACAGGAGTTAGAAGATGTTGCCTCACCCACATCTGGTGACCACCAGTTCCAATGGTTTGCAGAATAGCTGGAAACTGTTTCAAAAACGTGTCAACAACCTGTCTTACACTCTAAAAGTGTAAGGGTTATTATAATAAATCAGGGGTGAAGTACAGAGCAAGAGCCACAGAAACCCATTCTACTTCCTTGTAAAAGAAAGAGAAACACTGTTTACAGTTCTCTTCCTCTTCATCGTCCTCTTCATCATCGTCGTCGTCATTGAGGTTTATAATCAGCGGAGGGTGAATTGGTAGTACGATATTCTCTTATATTCTGAGTGATTCTTGACGATGGGCTGGAGGCAGAATCCCTCCTTGGGCACCCTGTTGCAATGGGGCGTCTGCAGAAAAGAACATGATATTCATTTTGTTAGGAGGGAACTCGAATACCAAATCCAGGTTCAGACCAGCAGGTATAGTTTTGAAAGCATTATCGTGTGGAGGGAATCATTAAATGGACCGATGGTGTCTTTTCGGCAAAGTCTTCTGTGGGGCTTGGCAAAAGAGCGTCCCCACCTACAGACCTGGGATGGCATTTTCTGAGAGCCAGGCAATGCCAGTGACTGACAATGAAAATGACGAAAAATTCAGAGTCTATTTATACTGTTCAAGGTGACCAGTTTGCAACTGTAGATACAATCAGGATTCTGTGCCTTGTATTAGTAACTTCAATTAGTTTAACAAGATTTCTAAATATTAAGATAAATACATGCAGTTTTAGTGTCAGTTTTTTAGTTAGGCTCCACATGCCCAGGTATGCCGGGCTACCTTTTCCTAGGGGAATTTCAGGAAGACAAGGGGTTCGCTTCTGACTAGAGGTCTGCCTGGACATCTCTTATGACACCTGCCTACAGCTCTGGAGGTAAGGCCCACGAATAACTGTATTTTAGTCCACTTGTCCTTGCCTCTCTGACAAGTCATGCTGACTTGCTCTCACTGCCTGCCCTGCGCTCTTACCCAGTTCCAGGTTCCAGCCGTCTACCAGAACTCCTGGCAGACAAGAGCTCCGCTTAGAAAGGAATGAGGGAAAAAACCCAGCTTGTCATGGTGGGGTTTTCCAGAAACACTCTCAGTTTCAGACCCTGCACTGCCTTACACACGAGTACTGTGCTGCAATAGCCTGCATCCAACGTTCAAGCCTGGAAAACGTATTCCAAACGGTGAACTGGAAGTACACCTGCACACACAGCACTGTAACCTGATGTTATCCATACAAGGGTGGTCTCATTCCTACAACACGTTGCGCTCTATCAACAGCTACCACTACGAGTGGGCCTACAAGCCTCCTCCCCCACCACAGGCTACTTTTCATTTCTCTTCAATGATTTCCTGCCCACTAACCATTTTCGCTACGAGAGGGAGTTAATTTAGCAAATATCCGAGTAAAGCAACATCTTTACTCCATGGATCTTAGCAATCTAAACTGCCCTTTGTGACTGCATCTTTCATGTCACTCCTAGTGAGGAACACCTGTAACACGACAGCTAAAAATTGCATATGGCAACCCTCTTCAAATGCCAGTACAATTCCTTTCTTTGCCTTGAACTTGCTGAGATGGCAGCTCATACCTGAGTGATTTGCCATGTTACATTTCTTGACCTTCATGTATATGATGTAAGCACTGGGACTAAGCACTGGAAGGACATTTTTGTGTATTTACTTACCCTAATGAACAAATGGTTCAGAACATAGATTTACTCACTGTTACTAGGTGGCAGAAAACGTTCATTTATATAGCGAGGTTTGCTGTGATGGAAGGCACAACGTATCCTCAGACAGCCTGAGCATCGTGATTCCCACAGACAGGGGATGTCGCTGTACTTTTGCTGCCGGAGAAAACAGTTTCTTACATCTACAGACATTGTAGATGTAAGAATAAAAATGGACTAAATGGATTAATAGGCGTTCTGATATTTCAGAACATTTAAAGTTGCCTTAAGCTCCAGCTACCCCTAAAGATACCTTGAGTTAGGTCAGGGGAGCTTTCAAGATGTCAAACTGCAGACACGCTGGGGCTGGGAGCCACAGCCCGTCTCCCAGGCATTATCGCCTGTATCACCAGTGCTGGAATGGGTGCAACAACAAAGAGCCCTCCACCCACCCCTGGATTTTCACCAGGTGGAATCTAAATACTTCTTGAAGAACAAACCCATTTTGAAGGCCTTTGTTTTAAATAACTGATTTTACAGAAATTCCAGTAGTCACTACGAGCAGAAGTGATAAACATGGCCTGTTCATTCACAGTCAATAGAAGGTTGATTCAATAAGAAAGTGATGAGTGATCTTTATGCGCGATGTGAAGTCCTGTGTTCCTCGAGTATCCGAGCGCAGTTCACAGGAGAAATTGTCCATAGGTTGCATGATATCAGCGCTTCTCATCACTTCCAAAAATCAGATATTTAATCTGCAGATGCAGCCATGACCCAGACAGAGCGACGGATCAGCTTCTAACTTTACAGAGTAAACCTCCCTTTCAACATGGATATGTTGAGAAAAGCAAGGATACCAACCGCTCTAAAGTCTACAGCATTTACCTGTGCGCAGGGGGCATAAGAACGGAAGTGGTGGTCCTTCCCACCTGCAGCCATTTTCACCGCTTGTGCTTCTCCTCCACTTTTAATACCGGCAGAACGGACATGCAAACGTTAAAGCTGTCAGCATTCAGGCAAATCGTAAGCTAATCCTGAAAGCAGTCCTTTTCTTCCAAATCCTGGACCTTCAGAACCTTAGCTCTGCTGCTTTTTTGAAACGAAGCGCCAGCGGACAGCCAAATGCACCGAAACAAAGGAGGTGGTACCTTCTTCAGCCTTCTTGAACCAATAAAGGCAGTTGCTATGCCAGTATGGAATGTTACGTTTCCAAAGTTCTCAACTGCTCTTGCATCTGGTGGCATGAGCATGCTGGTGCTGTGTGACCTGTCCAGCTTGAACATCTTCCCTTCTCTCCATTGCTTCAAAGGGGAGTAGGGAAAATAGGACCATTGGAAAGAGTTTCCCATTCTGGTGTTTCTTTAACTTAAAATGGAACAAACCCATTTGGCGGGGCTCAAATGATGCCCAACTTCTGGCCGTAGGACCTGTGGTCTTCAAAACCAAATCTTTGATACTGCATTTGACTACTTTTTAAACCAAAGTCCTGGTGCCCAGTGTGTTCCTTAGGGTAACTGTCTTGGTTTCGGCTGCCACCGGCAACAAAAGCGCCACGTGGCCGCCCCTCCCCCCACCAGCATGTGGAGGAGAATGAAAGGAAAGAGGCAGAAACCAGTGGGTCGGGATAAGGGCAGTTTAACAGAACAGCAAACAGAGGGAAACAGGAACAACAACGGTACAAAT